GGAGACATGGATTGAGCTAACTTGGATCTACTCAGTGGATTGATTTGATTGAATCACCTGAACTTGTGAGCTGCGCAGTTTCTATTTTAGTTTGAGGGCATCATTGCTTGTAAGAGTAGAAGGGGTTAGTGGCTTTAGGAAGAGTGTCTCTGCATCAGAAATGTCAATGCCAATACCTGTCATTGAATCAATGAACTTTCCTTCCTTTTGGTTTTAGAATTTTTTCAAGTTTCAAAAGCCTCGAATTAAAAGGAAGGCAAATAAATACTTTATTGGTTAGTAATTAATGCCTTAGATTTTAGTTAATATTCTGAGGATTATTTGGCATCAAATGAATAGTAATATTTTGTGAAAACTTGGAAATTAGACACATGGGAGGTACCTAGATGAGGGACAATGATTGCATATATCTTTTGATATCTGTGAAACACAGGCAAACCTATTTAAGATATACTGGTTTGTACCATTTTCCCATGAGACAACTTCTAATTTTGAGATATTGTCAATATGTGATAATTGTCTGAGTTCATTCTAAGATGTTCTTTATTAATCTATAGTTTTAATAATGAATGTCTGTAGTAGTGTCTTAAGAACTACATCCCACCCCCCATTTTTAAGTAGTTTTGGATATGTGAGAACAACCCAGGTCTAACTGTTCCTTTCAGTTGAACCAAATAATTATGAGAAGCCAAAGCATTGAGTGAATACCTTTATTTAGACGCAGTATCTGTAACTCATTTCCTCTTTTTTGGTTTTCCTGTATACACTTCAATTAGTCAGCTCTAGTCAAGAAATACATTATTTTGAATGGGTTACCTAAATCTATTGTTTTTTGTTGTTGTTCCTACTCGAACATTCCTCAAGAGAAGATAAAATATGAATAAGTTGATGTAAAAGATATAAATAAGTAAAAAAGAGAATATGAATGTTAAAACCATATACAAACATTATCTGGGAATTTCATTATTGATTTTGCACAAACTTCCATGACCTCAGATGACTCAAAATAAAGGAAATAAAAAGACCCCCATAGCAAAACTGAGACAGGATTAATGTTTTTCTAGGAAAAGACCAGTGTTTCCATTATCCGTTCCTAATTTCTAATGACAAAATAACAATCAGAGCTCAAAGAAATGTATTTATTGCTCGTTCTCATAAGGATATTTTAATTCGTTGAATTCAATGTTTCCATTGCGTTTAAACAATGTAAAAGGCATGGTGCTAAATATTGGTTGGGTGACAGAATTCAAAGTTATCTCTAATAGCAAATACTTTTTGTGAAAATGATAAATTTTTCCATCCATTGTGCTTTTGTTAGATTGTGGAGTCTATTGTTTTCATTTTTTCCCCATTTAGTTTCTCATCTTACTGTTTAGCATTCTCAGCTGGAATAGCAGGGTGTCTGTTGAACTACCTCTGTATTCACTGGTTTTCTTGGTTTACTCTATTCTAGAAATAAAACTGTGTTTAACTTACTATTGTCTACATTCTGTCCCTACAGATTATGTCAAATGCTTTCTCCAGCTTAATTTAAATGATTTATAAAATATGTCTTTGATCACAATGCTTAGAAGAGAAATATGTTCCGTGTTATGGCCCATGTATCTTACATATAGGAAAGACTTCTGGATAGGCAATGTGAAGGATTTTTAGCTCAGATTTCTTTTACTGCTTCACAATACATTGTCTTACTCTATCTTGAATAGTCATTTTCCTTCTGGGCAATAAATATATTTTAAATATTTCATCCTAATCCTATTTTCTTGAAGGCAAACTTAATTTAGACTTTAATCTTTTCTTTCATCATCAATACTGTATCTTATTTTATTGCTTTTCTCTGAATACCTTCATCTGTACAGATGTCTTGCTGATAATGAACTTGACTGGAAGTCTGGCTAGATGTTCTGTCAAATATCTAAAATCTGTCTCTTGACCTCTTTTATATGTTTTCCTATGCAAATCTATTTTTCAACTGAAAGAGAATGTCCTGGAGAAGTTCCAGGATATCAGAGAAGTTCCAGGATATCAGATGCTGAGAAGTCAGCATTATCTTCTAAGGACCATGTACTCTTTTAAGCCCAAGGTTCTATATGTGAGACACTATCTTAAGACAAACTCAAACATGATCTCTTTATCTGGGAACTCCCAATTCAAATCTGTTGCTATCAAAATTAATCGTATTCTCTCTTACTGTAATATTTCTCTTTAATAATAACATTTTGGTCACACTGCATGCCAACTGCCTGATCATGTCTCCCATGATAAATTACTTGGTAAATACATCTGCGGATTATTCTTTTGGAGTGTACAAATTATTCCACCTGACTTTTCTCAATCCCTTGCACTAAGAAGTTGAATTAAAACTTTTTTGTTTCAACAAACAAAAAGTTGAAACCAACCCTACATCTCTCTGGTCCAAACAAAATTATAACCAAGGCTTCAATAATAAGGTCTCTTGACTGAAATCTTGCAATCACTTCATGTCTTGCCTTGAAGGGCTAACTCATCCATTTATGTGATGTCATAGGAAATATGCATCAAATCCATAATTGTAATAAGACTTAGTTTTCATAAAAAATGTCAAGAAGCTAGATCCTAAGAAGAGTTGGAAATTATTTGATCCAGGCATTGCATTCTGTGTCAAAGAAAATTTTGTTATTTTAACTAATATCATAACTAAAGATATTATTGCAATAAATCATACTAAATTCACCTAAAAAGTCAGCACAGTTCACCACTCTGCATCCATTTGATGCAGCCTAGTTTTGCATTGGGTTCCTGAAGACATGCTCCATTTCCAGATAAACAGTAGATAATTAATTAAAAATACCAATAGATTATAATCTAAGTCCAGCTTGTTTTATTTCAATATTTAAAAAGTGTTTAACTCCATTTTATTCTAATATCTTAATGCTGGCAAAAGTGTACCTCCTTTGTTTGGTAGTAAAATTTTTAAAGTGCTTATTGGAAGAATGGACAGCTGCATCATTAATCTTAAATAGTGACTTTTGTATTTTGTATGAAAGGTGAGATGACACAGATAAGTTTCTAATACATAATAATCATTTTCGAAACTGATTGATAAAAGAATTGGTTAAATAATAACACTTTCCCTATAGTGAAAAATCAGGAGATGGCTAATTTCTGAATCCAAGCAGGATTGTTATAAAACATAAAAAAGCAAGGATAAGCCAACTAGTCAATGATCTAATATGTAAAAATTGGAAAAAAATAGCTTTATAGGACCATTGATTGTGAAATTTCACTCAGTAAAAGCTGTTAAATATAGAATTTGAACTGACTTATTGAACATAAAAAGAGAATAATTCAGCAAGGAAAACATACGCACAGTATTATTGCTTCTTCTAGTAAGTACTAAAAAACACAAATATAGGAAAATTTTCAATTTCATTCTTGCTTCTCATATGCCAATATTTTTCTTTTTTATTGTCTTTAGTTCTCTAAAGACATTCTTTAAATGCCTTTAACATTTATTTTGAAGTAAAAGATGGGAGTAATGTTGCCAGATTCATAATCAGTTTGAATTTACTAGCTTCTGTGTTTCAATATGCTCCCTAATCTACCAATTTTGTATAGTTTAAAATTGTGATTGTTTCATACACTTAGATATTTAGTGAGCTAAGAATGACAGGACTAGAGATAGAACGGTATTGGCTTAAAACACCAGGAAAAAATCCAAGTTAGGAATTTTGTTTATCTGCATACAGAAACAGGCTCTGGGCTTTACCCATTTATGATGCTGTGAATTGTAAGCTATTATTCTGAATCTTTACTGAAATATTTTCTGTGGAAAAAGGTTCACTTTTCATATATTCCACTGGGCAAATAAAGATCTGGCTTCCATGTGGATGGTTTCAGGATCTGCTTGCTCTTCCTTTTGTTTTGTTATAATACTCACTTGACAACTTTGACCAGTTCAGTTTTTAAAGCTCTAAATCTACATTTGAAAAGAAAAAAAAGACCTAGTGCTCTCCACATTTTTCTCCCATCTTGCCTGATTTCCAAAAAAATAAAAATAAAAAAAAATAAAAATTGGAATCAGGCTTTAAACAAAGCTATAATGCTATAACTATAGCAGAACTGCATGTGACAAAAATGTTTGGTCACTGACCATTACTGGGTCACCTAAACTTGACCTCTAAAAGTAGCAGCATAGTGGACCTTGTGATTATAGCAATATTGCCATTTGAGTTTTCTCCAGGTTTGAAGGTCGGATCTAATTATCCCCTTTAGTTGTATGCTATATTTGGTATACATAGAAAAACTTAGTCAAGACTGTCAGTAATATTTTATATCAAAAATAACATTTTAAGAGGTAGAAATTCCAAGGGTAGAACTAGGCATTGGTTATTGGCTTATCTTTTAAATTGTGCCTATCACACAACTCACGCTTGAGTAAAAAAAGGAACAGTAAAAAAGAATTGCCATTCTAGCAACAATGAGTGCGTTAATTCCTCAGTGAACCCAATGGAAGAGGTAAGTATCCCTTTAGCACCATATACTGGATGAGTGTGCTGAGGCCGAGAGCTTGCTGAAGGTCACACAGCAGGGCAATGGAACTTCCTAGAAAGACATCTGACATTCCCCATGTACAGTTCCAGGCGTTAAAAGCTTCAGCCCTTGCTTTCTCTCTTGGTGATCTTCAGTGCTTTAAATAGGGGATTCTTCCCCTTTGAATCCCACTACAATTGTCCCTTACAGTGCCTGACAAGGCGGGATGCTGCTTCATCCTCCTTCTCCCAGGTGGTCCATTTATCTGTTCAAGAGAGCCAATGAGGAATCCAAATGGCTGGACTGCTTAATATCACGGAGCCCCACCCATATCTCTTTCAGTATGTAATTCCTTCATAGGCCTCTTTCTCCCAATTACCCACTCCCTCTTACACCAACCTAATCCCTTCCCAATAGGGTACTTTTTTTTTTTTTTTTTCTCTTGCTCGCTCTCTCACTCTCTCTTTTCTGTATCTCTCGGAAATCAGACAGGAGTTCAGAGCACTTTCACTACCTTTTATGAGGTAGATTGTGATGTCATAGATGGGGGCAGGGCTAGTCAACTTTCTACCCACCTCCCAACCTGTGCTGAGGGAGCTCCGATCGGGTGTGGAAGCAGTGATTCTTCCATGGTGAGTAACTTTGCTTTCTGATCTAACCTGTCTCATTGTAAACATTAATTTTGAAAGCAGGGGGATGGGGTTTCAAGGAAGTAAAGATGTGACCAATCAAGCCCTCTTTACTTACTATTAACCAACTTTGGGCAAAGGATCTACTTATTTATTCTTTATTTAAGTCAAGAATTCCACAACACAGATGTACTCTTCAAGCATGATCTAAACTTGAGAAGTTGAAAATGGTATTTTCATTCCTTTAGTTCTCATTCTTTCTTCCCACTGGGACTGAAAGTCATTGCATATGTGGAATGAATCCATTCTGTAGTCTTTTAGTGAGCTTTCTATAAAGGAAGACTACTTAGGAAAGTGTATTCTTCTTCATTTGAAAGATTTCAGGATCACAGGATATCCTTTATTAATGTTTAGCCAGAGAATCAATCTGCTCTTCTAAAATTGTAGAGTAAAACTGTGAAGAAATTGATACATAAGAATTATCAACAAACTTGTTTCTGATATAAACAAATGAAAACTTTCAAATGCAAAAACTAAAATATTTATTTAAAAAAAAGAATCACCACTCTTGCAAGATTAAGGGTGCATCCATTTCAATGTGTCTCAACCAAATTTGCTACCTTTTTGTTGCATGTCATAACAATGATGCTGTTTTATAGGATTTCTTGGTAAAGAGCTGTGAAAAACCACTGTTCTTTGTTTCATTTGGGTTTCTATTATTACTGATTAATTCTTTTATATGCCAGAGTATTTAGAAGGAAAAGATCAACTGGAGTGAGCATGTTCCTTCATTTTCCTTGTTCTCTCCTGGGTACCTATTAAAATGGTTAAAATGTCAACTTTTTTATTAGAGGGCAAAGAAGGTTCATGGAGATGTTTACATCTTTAAGGGATGTCGAAGCATCAGGGTGGGTGTTTTTAAAAAGGTTTGACCATCAGAATGTGAGGCCCGTTACTTTTCATGGGGTGGGATTAAAAGTATCCTAGTTTGAATCATAGGTATTATGAAATGTGTTAAGTGGGTATCATTCATTTTTTCAAATCCCTAGTTAACTAGGTATGTATGGGTAATAGTACTGGAGAATTGGGGTAGTTTAAAAGGAGGAGTCCTTTTATTTCCCAATGTTCAAATGTTTTAATGGCCTTTAGATTATGCACATGGAGCATATATTAGATTACATTATCTATTAATGTTCAGAAAGAGAAATGCTACTTGTATCTCAATCTGTATACTCCACACCAACTTTTCTACTCAAGAGGATTGTATTAAATTGTTTATGTTTTACCTCCTTGCTAGATCTTAAGCTCAGTGAAGGGACCAAACCTCATATAGTCAATGCTGTTTAGATTTGCCCCCAAATTTAAAATTCTTGGACACCATAAAGAGGAGTCCTTTCTCATCAGTAGCTCTTCTGTTACGTGTAGAGCCTCTATCTTTCCCCCACAAGGGCTCTCCCTCTTTTCATTACCTGGGGTGGAGTGGTATCGTGACTGCTGGTTATTTTCCCACCTAAGCTTTCTAACCTAAAGAAGCGACTGTAACGGTAGAGATTTCAGGCACAATAAAGAGAAATAGAGTCATAACTGGCCCATAGGAAGATTTAGGTGATAATCACCTGCAGTCAACTTAATATTGCAATGTGGGTAACAATGCCAAAGTCTCATATGTTGGGTGATCCCTCTCCAATCTCTGGCCTACCTTCCATTAAAAGTGCTAGACCCCAGAAACCCAGGTAGAAGTTAACCTTCAGTGCCAGAAAAATCCGATATCTAATCATAGCTCAAGTTTTTAATGTCTTTTGTCAACCCCTCATACAGCTGCCAGGTAAGAAATGCTCATATTTTACAAACCCCTGGAATACAATCATCTTTAAACTTCGTGAGTTAAGAATGGTTGTGTTGTGCACTTGTGCAAATTCAGAGAATCTATCATGGAATGCATTGTGCATGCACTTGTATACCCTCATGTGCATGTTTCATTTATAGTGGTGTTCAGTGTTTTTATATCCATTTTGTATGTATTTGAATTATAATTTAAAATACATACATATATTGTGCTCCAAACAAAAGAGTGAGATAAAACAGAAGTTGCTTAATCTGGGGTCTGAACACTGGTGCACTAGTCGTATTTCTGTCAGTGGCTAATTAGGTAACTCAAAGTAAATTACTTAGATCTCTTGGGTCTCAGTTTTCTCATCTCTAAAATGATGATAGATGATTTAAAGGATATATTCTAAAGTAATCCTGCTCTAAAATTCTATCATAAAATGATATATTTTTGAAGAACCTGTTTATGGGGAAAAAAGATTGTGTAGTAGATGAGACCTAATTTTTGTAGATGATATACAGTTAGTTTTTCAAACTAGAAAGAAAATTTCAGTCCAAACTAGTCTTGAAATGTACTCTATATCTGATGTAGTATTATTTGGTTAATGACGTTAGTGGGTCCTGTTCTTTTAAGCTGACAATATCAAGCCCATGATGATTAGCTGTGTGTTAATTTGGAAGACTGATTTGCTTTTTAACTCCATAATTTTATGTTATTCTGATTATTTGAGATAAAGAAAATATCCTCATCCACTAGGTAATAGAGGGAGCTAGGCCTCATTGGGACTCTCAAATTCAAAATTACTTATGCAGTATGGCAGGAATTCCCTTGTGCTGTTGGGAAGAGTTCAATGAGTAGGGAATTGGTGGTTACTGAACTATGTACTATGAAGGATAAAAGACATGTAAGCCCTGGCTCCTACTCTTGAGGAATGTGCAAGCTTTTTGGGAGTCTGGACACATGTCAAGTGACAACTTAAAAGTGAAGACAGTAAGTGTCATAGTGGTCTGGGGTAGACTGGATTGTACTGGGAAGTCTTTGTGAGAAGCTGAGACCTTCAGCTAACTTTGAACAGCATGGTTTAGATTTGTGTTGTTTGTGTGTACATAATGAGGGCAGGTCAGCAAGCCCACAGAATTGTAAATGTTGCAGAGGCAATCTTGTGTTTAGAAATGACACATATCGAAATCAAAAGTCTTTGCTAAGAGTCCAGCCCCATACCTTCCCAGAGCCCCTATACCCTTAATTGTATGCTGACTATAATATATGAAGAGGAGGTGGCAAGTGACTGATTTGAAATGATTATTAAAATATAATCAGGCAGCTATTTTCTTAGTTACACAAGAGGTCACATGATCATTCACAGCCATGACTGAGGAAAAGAAATAAAAAAAAGGAAGGAATTATGGAGAGAAGGAGGCTCTAGCTCTGGGGCATTGTGGTTTTCTGAAAAAGGTGGAAATGGATTATCACTTGGACAATCAAAGGGATTATCACTGACAGGTTTAGAAACATTGGATGGTCATGGAAATGCCCATAAGCTAATGAGAATCCATGTAACCAGGGTGATTTTCCAAAGCAAATGGAAGTTTCTTGCACTGAATAGTAATCATGTCAGACTCTGCTCTCAAAGAGACAATGATTATGCAAGTCTCTTTCCC